TTTTTTTTTTTTTTTTTTTGCAATTTGGTTTTCTTCCTATCGCTCTCGCTCATATTCCTTGCTCGAGATAAAATAAATTAGAACATGAGACTTGACTTTACTTAAGCCACCACTACCTCCGAGCCTCCTTTTTCCAAGGCAGAAAAGAGCTGCGTGCCAAGCTTTGCCGAGGCACCAGTACTACGTTGTTTTTGGTATTGACTGGTGCCTCCAGCCATTTTGGTCCGGTGGCGCCTGGCCTCCAAAGAATGCGGCGTAGTTTACCGCATTCTTAGGAGGTTTCGAGTTTGCCTGTGAGAGGGAGTGGTGATTTAAGATGTCATGTACTCCTTTTCTGAACCCCTTCAAAATCAGTTTATACAACTTTATAGTAACTTGGTACACCCCAAACCCCCCTGGGGTGAACCATCATCAAAGGCCGGATTCTGACTGCGGGGGCCAAGCGCAGTCCAGGCCTGAAGTCAGATTTATGCTTTTTTGTCCTTGCATCCTTTTTGACCCACTCGGCCGGGCAGATCAGCCCTTGCTTCCTGGGCCCAGTTTCTAGGTTATCATTCTTCCAGAAGTTCCAGAACTTTTTTAGATGCTCTCTTGTCTGTTCCTTTGTCCTGCCATCTGACTCTTTTTAGTATGCATCATGTGCATGTATCTGTCATCTGGTGCTCATGTTCTTTGTTTGGCTGTTCGGATATGGATCTGGCCTGCAGGTTTGCATGCGGCAGCTGCTTCAGTGCACTGAGCTGGAGCATTTTATGCACTTCCTCCGACATGAACTTCAAAACGAACTGAGGGTCAGTACCGTTTTTTTTTGTTTTTTTTTTTCTGGGCCAGCACTCAGCAGTACCTAGCAGAAGATTAGCACATAATGTGCAATCATGCATCAAATCGTCCCCTTGGTTTTCCTGAGAGTGCCGCGTAGACTCCTTCAGAGTGTCTCATATGTGCCTGAGAGTGTCCTATAGGTGCCTCAGAGTGTCCCATTGGTCCTCAGAGTATCCCATACCCAAGGTGCTCCAGAGTTACCCACAAGGCGTGGAGTGTCCCGTAAATGGCCTCCTAGTGTCCTGTAAGGTGCTTCACTGTTCCATAAGTGGTCTCAGAGTGTTCCATAAGGTGCCTCTTAGTGTCCCATGACCCCTCCAGAGTCTCCTAAGATGCCTCAAGAGTATCCCAGCAGGTGTCCCACGCATGTTGAACAGTTGCCTCGGAGTGTCCCATCTACCAACTGTTCTTGAAGATGCTTGGATATGCTTGCCTTGTTGCGCCGTCTGCCCTCCCATCTCAGCCATTGGATGCACATCTTGGCCATCCTGTTCCGAAGTTGGGCGTTCTGTGAGGGTCATGTCCCGGATGCTTATTGGTTGCCATGTGATTTTTTTCTTTCGACTTTCATCGTGATCGACTTCCAATTGTTGTATGTATATTTCTTTTTTCAAGTTTTGGTTTGTGTCATCATCCTGGCCAATTTCGAGATACACATTCATCAGATGTATAATGTCGTCCAATTGCAGAAAGAAATGAATGAACTTGAGAGGAGAGAGAGGGTAAGAAGAAGAAGAAGATGATGTACACCAGCATAGACAAATGATAAAGCTCTTCTTCTTCACCAAACACTCTCCTCCTCCTTTACTCCTCTCTTATTCACACAAGAAATAATAGTACAATGTTGAATGGCTGAACCAGAATCAATGTCCGAATCCCTCTTCTACTGCAGGTATCACTTGAGGTCCACCATAGCCGTGGTCGCCTCCCTCACTTTTCTCTCTCATAGGCCGAGGCTATGGCGGACTACTGGGGTCTTCCTGCTGCAGCGCCCACCAAGGTGATGACGACGGATGCCACCATAGCCAGGTAAGTACCTCTGGCGCTCCCCCTTCCTCCTGCTCTTCTTCCTCCTCCGTGTCCTTGCTCCTTCCCCAGCAGCGCTGCTCTTGGTAGCGCTGCTCCAGCCAGTGCTCCAACCAGTGTGTCGCCAAACTTGCACACCGACAATGAGGCTGGGATCTTTGCCCGGCCTGGAGATATAGCGGCCTGCTTGCCTCTTGGGCGGTGACTTCCAGGCCGCTCGGCCTTCCAATCAACCGTTACCTCCTCCCTTTCGCAGGGAAACGTCATTGCAGACTCTGATATTGCCTGTACAGGCCCTCGAGTGTTTCCCCACTGCTTCAAGTGTTGCGGGCCTCTTCCGCCGCCACTTGAGTGTTTTCCCCGCTGCAGACCTCAATGTCACGGCCACAGGTAAGTACCGGCCTCTCAAAAATACAGCCTGGCGGGTGGTAACCCGCGGACCAGGGATCGAGCCCTGGCTGAGCCCGTAACAACAGATGTCCAAGTAGTTGTGTACAAGCAGAGAGCACAAATGCACAGAGATCCCATCCAAATAAGAGCAATACAATGAAGTAATGAGCCAATGTTCAAGCCCTCAGGCCACACCAACACAGTATCCAAAGTCACTCCTCTCTCTGGCGCCCAGCGCCCAGCCTACCCTACTTGACTATCGTACCTACATCAGCATTCTTGCAACAGGCTCACTTTGACTCTCAAAGACCAATGCACATGATGTCAACACCATAGCCGACCTCTCACATACCAGGTACATATCTCATCTCTCCTCATCAGCCCTGTCCACCCACACTCACCTCCTTCCAGAAGACCACCGATCGCCCTCTCAACCCCTAGCGCACTGCAGCCCGGCTATGGCTGCTTGCGCTCCAGTGCCCAGCAGCGCCCCACTTCACCACACATGCGCCCGCACGCGCTCTGACCTCAGCGCAGCACGCAGCCTCTAACACAGCAGCGCAGCAGCGTGACCGCATTGCCTGCGTGGGCCAGAAGGCCAGACCCTGGCTGCCCTCCTTCCTATATGGAAGTGGCAGCCACTGCTTGGCTGCGTCCGACCAGGCTGGAAGCTTCCAGTAGCTGGTTGGGCCCAAGTACCTGCGCCCAGGCCCCGTGCTACAGTTGAGGGCCTGGGCCCTTTACAGTTGGGCACGGCCTGAGTCTCCAGACTTGGGCCGTTTCCTGCATTTGCACAGGACCCGGGGTATGTACGTCGTCAGAGCTGCTTTTGTGTAGGCCTGTAGCCATTTCGTGATGTATCGGCCCTGCATTGTGTGTATGGGCCCAGGCGCAACTGCGAAGGCCTGGGCCAACTGTATGACGCAGGTTAGTGAGGCTCACGCGTCCACTCAACCAACTGGCGGGCTGCCACAGCCTGAATACCCACATATGAAAATGTCGAATTGTTGGCCTCTGATGAATATTCAGGCCCACCTTCACTTAGGGCGGGCACCTGGCTTGCAGGGGGCCTCTGCCCAGAACATGTGTATGTCTGATAGGGCCCCGTGAGGGCTCGTTCCTCGCACTAGTTTACCACTCCCTCCCCTCCCACCCACCCGATCTGTGCTGCGTCTCCTCCTTCCTCCATCTGTTCTCTCTACTGTTGTGGCATTGGTGAGTTGCCACGTCAGCACGGTGTCACGTCAGCAGGCCCCATCAGCAGGCCACGTCAGCAGCGACATATCAGCAGGCCACGTCAGCAGTGACACGTTAGCAGGCCACGTCAGCGACACATCAGCAGACGTTCGTGCCACGTCAGCAGCCACAACAGCAGGCCTGTGCCACATCAGCACCAGCTAATGCCTCCCGTCCTTCGATCAGCGACCACCACGATGGACCGCAAGGACAATGAGTCCGACGAAGACTACGGGGCCAGGCTGGCCGACTTGATGCTCGAGATTAAGCGCAGACCAGATGGGGCACTCGCCGCTCGAGAGAAGAGAGAAAGGGAAGCCGAGGAGCAACGTCACATTGCTGAACTACAGCAGCAAACACACGATGATGCAGCACGAAACGCTGCAGACGAAGCAAGACAAGCGCACCGAGATGCATTATTCGAGGAGGAGGTTGAAGTTTTGAGCTTGGCCGGCGACTGGGACAAGTCGGCCAAGGACGAAGGTGCCTCTCCAACCGTACACAATTTCTCCACGGTCATCAAGCGAATTGTGGACTTAGTAGCTACCTGCGCTGCACAGCGAGAGGACATCCTCACATTGGACCAGCACGTGCAGAACTTGCTCAGTCGAGTACAGACTTTGGAGCAGCGGCCTGTTGCAGCAACAGCCGCTGGCCCCTCCAACATCCCGGACCGCATCAACAAATTAGAGTTGGACGTGGGCACCCTGAATGACACAGCGCGGCAGCAGCAAACAACCATTCAACAGTTGGAGCAGCAGATTTGTGCAGCAGCTGCCAGTTCGGCCGCGTCATCTCACGAGCGCATACCCAAATTTGATGGCGTTCCGGTCTTCTGCGATGCAGCGAAGGCCGAGCCTATTCCATGGTGCCGCCAATTTGACCTGCGTTTGGACGTGCACAAAGTCAGCGACCCCAACCGGCATGCCTATTTATATCACCGGTCGGGGGCGCGTGTGAAGCTTGGCTTGACAATATGCTGTCCACGCACAAGGTCACTGTCCCTGAGCTGCACACAAAGATCAGCTGGGCTGATCTCAAGGCAGCATGGCACAAGCGGTTCCACGTGGAACCGCCCGAGCTTCAAGCGATGGAAAAATTGCAAAAGTTCCATCAGAACGCCTTGCCAAGCACGGATTGGATCAACAAGTACCGACACTTGGCATCCATGCCCGACTTGCTGATCACCTCTACGGGCATCAAACACTACTTCATCATATGGTTGTGCCCGACATTGCAGAATGCATTGACGCAAATCGTAGAGACGCTCACCACAACTGAGCAATTATTTAACAAGGCCTCGCAGATTATAGTGACGAATACGGAAGCTTGCAATGCTGGCTGTTCGTCCTCTGCAGGCCTGGGCAGAGATCAGCATCGGTCGAAACTGGTCGTGGTCGCAGCAGCAATGCCGAGCGATTCCTCAAACGAGGCTGCTTCATCTGACGAGGGAGAAAGATTAGCAGCCGCCCGGGATGGTGGCCCCCCCACCAAAGTTCGAGAATGCGGCAAATCGAAGGCAAACACCTCTTCAGCCCCCGGGTCCGGAACAGCAGCTCAAGACCCTTGGCTACAATATGGTCTCTTGGAGGGCGTCTAAAAGATTCGAACGAGACACCATTATTGCTTGGGGTGCAACAGCGACGCACACGAAACCGCCGACTTCTCCACGAAAGCCAAGGGGAAATCCCTTCCGGGGAAGTGAGCACCGCCGAGAGTGATATAGCTTCACTCTCGACGCTTTCGGAACTGGTTGCTTCGTGAGCAACCTCCCTTAATTTTGAGGCACATGCGGAAGTCGTAAGTCCTCCTATCCTTCATTCTTTTGAGGACTTCGCTGCCCGGCTCATTCCATCGCTGGGTTCTCTCGCTCAAGGACAACGTGTGTGCGCGGTTTCTTCTCCGTTCGGTAGCGGCGACAATTTATTCTTCTTCAAGTGGTTCTTCAAGGGATTCGGCACGCGAGTTGAACGTAGAGGTCTTGGACCCGTTGTCGCCCGAGGATTTTGCATGGCTTCCTCTCCCTTCCACGGACCGCTTACTGGGACCGCAACGCGCAGCACTGTGCGCCCATTTACACACTTATTTGTCCTTTTACGCGCCATCAACTTCGACGACGAATGGTGAAGTTGCAGTGGAGGACCTCCTTGCATACATTAGAAAGGTGGCCCGCGAGTTTCGCACGCAGCGGTACAATGACAACAACGCACCGCTCCTTTATGTCCGCATCCAAGTTGGGCAAGCGTCCTGCAGCGCTTTGCTGGATAGCGGCACGACTCGCAATTTCATGAGTCAGTCCTTTGCACAACGGGCTGGC